TCGTGCCAAATCAGCACCACCCACCTGCAACCTCGCACGCTCTCCCACCCACTCCCTCTCACGTCCACCCACCTCCTGTTCATAGCCTCACTCCTGCTGACATTTACTTGCAGTAGGAAAAGCAGTGCACCTCGTGATTGCCTCCTCTGTCCGCTGCCTCATCTGTAAGTCGGTTCGATCAGCTTTGATGTCTGCTGCAACGATGTCCCCAATTCATGTGTTCGGGCTTTACAAAAGAACGAAGGTAGGCCAATTCGGAACAATAAATGAGCTCACAAAGTGCGAGTGAACTCTCGGTGTTGAGTGTAAGATTTCACGGGAACAACATGGAGATAAAGGAGTCCAAATCTGCTGCAGATGTCAGTGCTTAGATGTAGAAATGCAAATGTTTAGATAAAAAATGAAAGGATGGGCATAAAAGAATGCCTTGCCATGCTTGTGTGCGAGGAATGAATGAGGGGAAGGAAGAGTTTGGGGACGTGCTTAGTCGGCTGCGAGTACGCATTATTGTCAGAGCGCATATGCTTATGTGGTTACCCATCTGACAAACTCTGTGTACCTTCCACTCATCCGAACTATTGATGGCCACGCCTTTTTGACGGGAAATGATGTTTATGGAAGCTTTTAAGGCATCAGCGACTTGAAGGTGGTGAATTTTTTGGTGAAAGTATCTAAGAGCCTTGGCATGTGCATTTATTACCTACTGACTTGCACATTCACAGGCTTTTTTTCTAATCGTCGTTCCTCTTATGTCTACCTTCCCTCCGTAGCGCTCTCCTCTTTGCCCTCTTCGTCCTTACTCTCAGTGGTCTGTGAAAGAAGAAGACTGCACGAGGACTCATTGGGCGCTACTTTGTAAGTTCAGTCCGTAAGGGTGTTGGCACAGATCTAATTTGCAAACCGGTCGTGCGGAAGCGTCCCACGGTACCAGAAGAGTCGTCCTCTCCCTGCCTCTACCACCATCCTCTGCAAAGTCATATGCGACCGTTGAGGTCACTGTGGACAACTTGTTTTCGCCCATGCAGCGAATTTTATCGAGGCGTTTGTAGGAAGTGAGGGATATGCGACAACTCTTTTCACTGCCTCCAGCATTGCACAAGCAGTTGCCCTCGTCACATTTTCCACACATCTAATCGGCGAGACAAGCACGACCGCATCGAGGTCTGCCTCTTCTTCACCCACTTCAGACCAACTTATCCGACGCTGTTGCTACTGCCTAGTGCGGTGGGATGAGGCTTCGTTTTGAGCCAACACACCGCCATGACACGTTGGAGTGAGACCAAAGTATTCAACCGTGTCAAAGATAGCTATCTACCATCGTGTCATCTCGTCATCATTGCCATTGCCATCAAATAGTCGCGTCAACCATTCACAGCTCCTCTCACATCCACGTCCACAACACTGTTTGCCAAGTCTACATCAGGTAAAGTAACACCTCCCGTAAACCCCACGGAATGCAAACGGTTCGAGGTGCCGAAACAAGTCCCACAAGCATCGCAAAATAGGGAACCTCCGTTGCGTAGAACTTCTCTGCACATCAAACAAGCAAGACGTGACACATGAAAGTCCATCCTTATCCTGTAAGTGAGCCTAACAGCAACAAATGCAGCTGGTCTGCACTATATCATGTCATGAGCAAACACGATTAGCTCCTAAACAGATAATGCATGTTTGCAACTCAGATTTCGTAAGATAGTGCACTATCGTGGATGATTCCGCCAATTTCATTGCTCTGATTACCGCCAAGAAGTCGTCCTTACAGACCATTTGGGAATGCTGAAGATGGACACGTTCCCGCCCTTTGACGTTAAGCTGTCACAACTTACTCCTCCAACAATTGTGAAAATTGGCGACTGCGGCCACATGCTCGAGCACTCGCAGATCACCTTTCCTC